ACAATTCAAAGTACGCCAATAGAATGGATCTTCGAAGATTCTAATGGAAAATAAGCATGATTTATTATACATACGCGTGTACAACACATATGACATAATATGTACAGCATATACTTGTACATACGTATGTGTATTGTACAAGTAAATACTGAAAATATAACTTAAGATGTAAATAGATCTTTGAAGATTTTATTTATAGCAAGAAATATTATAAGCACGATTTTGTGCGCCAAAATTTCTAACGCTCGAATAATCGCTATGTAGATGAGCATATAAATAGGGAAATTTGAACTCTTCGATTTACATCGATGTAATGGTACAAGTTTTAATTTGAATTTATTGCTCATGAATCACCGCATCGTTGCATCGATGCTACATTTATTAAGCTATATTTAACCCATAGCTAATTTTAATTTGATCCTTCAACAATTTCTTCAAATACATGAGGAAATGGTAAATATTTTCCACGAGCATATAAACAGGGGAAACAATCTTTCTACAATTTTCGTAATATATTATAATAAAATAGTATAAAAATATAAATTTTAATATTTCACATCAAATTTTTATTTTTATTCATCTGTCTTTTTGTTCAATGTCACTTACCAATCTATTAATCTTACAAGGCGATTTATTGATATTTTCTTCGATGTCCCTTCGACAATGTATATTCAATTTGATCATTTCAATTGTATCATGTATACGAATTTGATGATATCCACATCGTTTTAAAATGCTTCAATACGGATTTAAATTCGGCTGAAGATTGAACTGTCCATTGCTTGAATGGCCTTATTCGTCTGCTCGAATGTCGAAAACACAATTTCCCTATTTATATGCCCGCCATACTGTACAACGTGAAAGGAAATAAACGTAAGACACAACATGTTCCAGTCTGGTAAATTCCATTAATATTATAATGCGTTCGATGACAAGCGTGCACAAATACTGGCCGATGCCATTGACGGTCGTCCATCATCTAATAAATTATCTAATAAATGCACGTACCTATGATCAAAATTGTCAGAAAATTCTTGTTCTACGGTTTCACGGTCAGCTTCTATTCCGTCCGTGAAATAATTCCTGCGTGTGACATTTAACGAGGAAGAAAGAGAAAATGTTTTGAAATGGTTCCAAGCAGAGAGATTTTTGCGTGCAGTTGGCATTGCAATTGTTAATCACTGCCAATTGCTACCAAGTCTCGTGGACCTGACCCAATGACTCGTATGAAATTTAAAGACAAGAACGAGAACGAGAAATGAGAACGAGAGATCTTCATTTATATTTTA